CACCTGAGTGGAGCATATTTCTAAAAAAGCTTGTGAAATGTCAACATGAAACTTCATAGGTGGATAAATCTTATTAAGGAGGAATGTTGTGCACAAAAATGATAACTTTACCCATTATAATTTTTGAGTTATAGCCCTCTGTAATGATAACTTTACCCATTATAATTTTTGAGTTATAGCCCTCTGTTATTAGTCCCCTACCGGTTTACCGGAGGGGACTTTAGGTTAACCCTCCGTCCGTCTGTCCGTCCGTCCGTCCGTCTGTCTGTCTGTCAGTCCGTCAGTCCGTCCACAAAACTGGATCCCGCGATAACTTGAAAAGTACTGAAAATATTTTTATGAAACTTGGTATATGGATAAATAGCAGTATGGAGATTATGCACGTCTTTTTCTTTTCTTCCAATGTTGAAAATTCTGGTTGCTATGGCAACAAGTAGGCTGAAAATATGGCAAATTTTACACATAAACTTGATCCAATGATAACTCAAAAAGTACTGGAAATATTTTTATGAAACTTGCCATATGGATAGATGGCAGTCTTGGAATTATGCACGTCTTTTTATTTTCTTCCTATGTTGAAAATTCTGGGTGCTATGGCAACAAATAGGCTGAAAATATGGCAAATTTTACACATAAACTGGATCCAGTGATAAAGCAAAAAGTACTGAAAATATTTTTATGAAAATTGACATATGGGTAGATGGCAGTCTTGAGATTATGTACGTCTTTTCTTTTCTTCCTATGTTGAAAATTCTGGTTGCTATGGCAACACATAGACTGAAAATATGGCAAATTTTACACATAAACTGAATCCAGTGATAACTCAAAAAGAACTGGAAATATTTTTATGAAACTTGACATATGGGTAGATAGCAGTGTTGAGATTATGCTTGTCTTTTCTGTTCTTCCTATTTTGAAAAAATATCAGTTGCCTTGGCAACAAATAGGCTTAAAACATGGCAAATATAACTGTTTTTGTGATTATTCAAAAAGAGCTGAAATTTTTTATGAAATTGCATCTTTAATTCAAGAGTTATCTCCTCTTTAAGAATTCTGCTTTTAAAATGTTATATTTTGGTAACAGGGATGTTTCAAATATTAACTTTAGAGTGTCCTTCAGTCCGTCTGTCTGTCTGTTCATAAAAACTGTTTCCTGTGATCACTTTTAAAGAACTTTCCCAATAAGTTTACTTAAAATAGAGAAAAATTGAAACATAAGTGAATGGCCAATGGCCCTTCAGAATGTTGATGGGGTTCTAACCGGTATGGGACTTATGGATTGCTTGCAATACTATGATAATTGCTTGTTTTTCATACTTTTTGTCCGGAGCTTATTTCAAAAATTGTTAGAGGTTACAACTTCATAACTACAAAAGCCATTGAAATATCAACATGAACTTCATAGGTAGATAGATCTCACTCAGGAGGTGTGCAGTGCAAAAGAGTGATGACTCTATCTTTCATAGTTTTTGAGTAATTACCCTTTGTACTTTTTCATACTTAATTTTTCACCTGAGTGGAGCATAACTCAAAAGGTCTTTGAGATGTCAACATGAAACTTCATTGGTGGATTGATCTTATTAAGGAGAAATGTTTTGCGAAAGAATGATACCCTTTATAATTTTTGAGTTATTGCCCTTTGTTATTTTTCAAACTTTTTGTTCGGAGCTTATCTCAAACAGTGTAAGAGGTATTAACGTGAAACTTCATAGGTGGATAAATCTCATTGAGGAGGAGTGCGGCACACACCTACCGTGCATTATTTTTCATGTATTGCCCTTTGTTACTTTTCATACTTAATTTCGTCCAGAGCATAACTACAAAAGCCTTTGAGATATCAACATGAAACTTCATATGTGGATAGATCTCACTCAAGAGGTATGCAGTACACAACAATGATAACTTATTCTGCTCTACTACATATGCATGGCTCTTGTAACAAGTTACATTACAATACTTAAAAACCTTCTTAACAAGTTAACCTGTCAATTAAACTCAATGCTATTTGTAGATACCTTAACATTATACTTATAACTGTTTTTTTTTTGTATTTTTTCTTTTTTTCGCCGTGACAATCACATTGCTGCATTTCCCAGCAATTTTTTACTTGTTTTATTCAGTTCCGCCCATCGTTTTCTTGTTCAGTGCACACGCATTATTTTACTTTGGAACGATACGACGCTTTTTATGGAAAGCAAGAACATACCATAATGAAAGCTCCATGATACCCACCATATTAATTAACGCATCTGCGGATGATTCTAAATACAAAAAATTCGCTGTTTTCATGTTTAAATGTTGAATTCTGCTTTAGCGATGCGTTGGCAGTAGCTTGCAAGCACTTACCAGTACTTTCCATGAACAGACTCAATCAAACTGAGCCTGCAACGTTTTTAATTTTGTCGTTTTGGGATTTCTTTAGGGATTCTGCTTTTCGCTATTTAATAATGTTGTATGGGTTTATTTATTAATATACACAGAGCGTGCGCTTGTAATATATAATTGTCACATACACGTGATGTTATATACTTCTATCGTTTTATGACCACTGATTGTTCAATGTATATATGAGTGGCGGGAAGATAATGGACATGCGCATTACAGTATAAGATAAAAAAAATGTACATTCTAACACTATCGGAAATTTTTCTATATAAACAAAGAAGGCCCGAAGCGTGCTTTATTCTACAACAATGCACTCGCCGTCCTTATTATCTCCCTTGAGGGCGCCATTTTGTTTGAAAAATGTGATAAATAAAAACATTTTTTGTCGAATTTTGTTGTTAAAACTATCTAGAATGAAAGAAAATGGTCTAACTAAGAAAATGAATCCGAACACCAATATCTTTAATTCAGTCGTTAACGCTGTACAGACGTTTAAAGTGTTGTTTACGTGACGTCATAATGTAGCGCCAAACAGCACGTGCAAAACAATCAAAATCATGTACACTATTTCAATGTCGCAAACGAGTTAAGTTTTACATTTATTTCACTTTTAATAATTTGTATTTCGCTTGGAAAATTATAGACGGAAATAAAATAAAAAAACAAAGTTTTATCAACGTTTTCAAAATTCGTTATTCTCAAAATGTTTCTACACACGGTAGATTTAACGACAGTTTTTTTTTTCAACCCACTGGAACAGCCTTTAAAGAACAATTCTATTGGAAACTCTGAGACGAAAAAAAAATTTAACCACCAAACATAAAGTCCAACTTTATAATAATAATTAAATTTTTTCTTGACGTGTTAGAATGGAAATAGATATTAATTCTTCGTGCATTATTGTATAATAATGCACGTTTTTTGTTCAAATGCCTTGTAATTAATCACTCAGGCCTATCGGCCTTCGTGATTATATTACTACGCATTTGAACTCAAACCGTGCCTAATTCTACAAAAGTGCACTCTAAATTGATATCTATTTCCTAAATATACAACAAATAATTACTGTTATTTCTGTAACTTACTGTAAGCTGTACTATTTGAGGCTGAAACACAAACAATTGATACTACAAAATCATGCAGATTTATCTAGTAAACCAATTAACTCATATACACGCGTTGTTTTCACCCCCTTTTCACTCAGTTTCAGTGAAAAAATACTCTATTTCGGGGGTTAAACACTTCTTTTCGTTTGAGAAGGTTTTATAAAAAGTGATCACATTTTTCGGCGCCGCCCCATCAAGAAAATTTTGACTTGTAAGAGGTTAAAAATTGTCTGAGTCGATCTTAGGTAATGTGTAACCAACGCTGAAAGGTCTTTGACTTAATTTCAATCCATTGATTTTTCTTAATATGTTACCTTCATGAAATAAAATGTTTATTATTATTATCATTATTATTATTATCATTATTATTATTGAGAAGTTGCAGTACTTCGAAATCAGTAGGCAATTTTGAGATGTCCCATCGTTGCATGGTAACAGGAAATTTAAGAATTAGCATGCCGTTACAAAGGCTATGGTCAAGTCAACATTTCTGCCAAGTTTGATCAAGTTTCGATGAGTATTGAAGCATTTTGTATAGTTTCATAGCAATTCTAGTTTGTATCAGGAGGCTTTTCAATTAAAACAGCAATGTTTTACAAAATGCCCATGAATGCGGTGTATAATGGGTTAAGTTGAAACTCAGTTGTTTTCAAGACCGGTTCCGACGCATTGACCAGTTCCGAACAATCAAGCGAGCCATTCATGTAAACGACAATACAGTAGAACTTCTATGAGTCGAACTTCGATTAGTCGATTTTCTCGATGTGTCGAAGTAAAATGAAAGTCCCGATTTTTTCCCTTATAAATATATCTATGAGTCGAGATTTTATGCGTCGAGTTTTTCGATGTGTCGAAGTTTTTTCGCGGTCCATACCGAAGTTCTACTGTAAATAGTTTTGTTGTTTATTGACATTAGCAAATAAATATGTTAGTCATTATTCTATTTCGGCTTTTAATATTTTTTGTGCGATAATTGACTCTACATGAGGCAAAAATGCTGAAATCCATATCGGCATTTTTTTTATCGGTACATGCTATAATGTAAACTGAACGAAAGAGACACATTATATGTGTAGATTGAAAGTTTTCAATCTGTGTCAGTGTTGACAGATCTATATTATTTAAACTAAAGATGAACGTTTGTCAGTATGGACAAAATTAAAAACATAGATTATCTATAAAAAGTATTTACCAGTAATGGGACTAGAATTAGTGTTGTTCAAGCATTATTGCAAAACAAAAACTTATTTTCATCTTGGACATTGTATACGATCCCTGTTATTGCATTAAGAACACATTTACGGAAACGCTATATAATTTTATGTAAATCATTATATAATACATTTTACCATTGTGTTTTTTAGTTAATATAGAAAAACAATCAAAACAATATCTATTATTTTTTTAAAAGTCCAAAGTTTTCATGCTATTTTAGCCTCATTATTTAGAAAATTAGAAATCTATATAGCCATAGAGGGAAAATACATTAACTAAGTACTGGTAAGTGAAGGACAATATTTAGTGTTGTGAGGCCTTTGTGAATCGCGCATGCGCTGTAAAATTGATTAAAATATCAATATGGCGGAGGTTAGTCCAGGCTAAGATTTTCTTAAAATTTGAAGAAATTGATGTAAGTATCTTTTAAATCTTGTAGCCGTTATGTTACATATTTTATACTGAAACGAAATGATTACTTCATGAAACAGAAATAACTTATGTGCCAACACAAATTACAAAAAGTTAACAATTAAAAACGAAAGTAGATTTATGAAAAACTGGGGGAATTCCCACATTAGGCTAATAATTATAGATGTTTTCAAATGGAAAGGTAACATCCATTTATTAAGCATTTGTAAATCATGTTTTTTTTATCTGAAATCATAATTTTGAGGAATACTTTATTAAACTAATTTTATAAGGATTTGATAATTTACCAAAAGCATAGGAACGCAGATCGCGGCGCATATTTTCGATCACAGGGGGCTCACACAGTGTTTGGATGGTATATACTGCTTGATAGTGACCTTAAAATGAGATTTTAGTCATAACCTTATAATATGTATATAAATATAGACAAGGGGCATTACTGCTAAATAGAGAATTTTCGATCACCCTCAAATTCATGCGAGATTTTCCACTAATTAAATAAAAAAATTCCAAAAACTATACTGCGTTGCATAGCTTATATAATCCACAATTGATAAACACTAAATCTATTCTGATTCCCTTAGCCCATTTTAAGAAATTTATTCAAAACCGTTCACTTCTGTCACAAAATTGCTTAGTCGTACGAGATGTCGCAACACCAAATTCCACGGGTAAAATATCAATTTTAAAATGGGGAGGTACAAATAAACGCATGCAAACAATAACACAACATAGTTTCTATTACCTACCTGCGCAAATAGTCGTGAAGCGCTCTATATTCGTCTGTTTCGAACGAAATCTTCAAATCAGAGCAGAAATCTGCTTCGATGTAGACATCTTGGGGAAACCCCGGTCACGTGACCAGCCGGTGTATCGAGACCTTTCATTGGTTCGGTAGGAACTTTGTTTATAACGACAACCAATGAAAGGTTTCCATACACCATGACCAGAATTTCCAACATGTATTCGCCGAAGCAGATTTCTGCACTGATTTGAAGATTTCGTTCGAAACAGACGAATATAGAGCGCTTCACGACTAAGCAATTTTGTGACAGAAGTGAACGGTTTTGAATAAATTTCTTAAAATGGGCTAAGGGAATCAGAATAAATTTAGTGTTTATCAATTGTGGATTATATAAGCTATGCAACGCAGTATAGTTTTTGGAATTTTTTTATTTAATTAGTGGAAAATCTCGCATGAATTTGAGGGTGATCGAAAATTCTCTATTTAGCGAGTAATGCCCCTTGTCTATATTTATATACATATTATAAGGTTATGACTAAAATCTCATTTTAAGGTCACTATCAAGCAGTATATACCGTCCAAACACTGTGTGGGCCCCCTGTGTTTTCGATCGTGTAACGGTTTTTAAAAACGTTTCCGCTACATCTAAATATCTCTTAAGTATTATCCGAGCATATGGCCTCAAACAATATATTGTCACTTGGACCCAATCTGTTACTTTTAAAACTGGTGAAATTTTACGGTTTTATAAAAAAAAAGACAAGGAGTGACATCCGCCATTTGCCGCAACGTTCGGCATGAGTTTTCCCCCTTTGGCTACACTTGATTACTATTTTTCAGTCTATGCGAAAGACTTCTGAGTTTTACTGGACAGTAGGTCCTGTAAACTGAAAATTTTTACTGGACCAAACATGATTTTACTGGACCGAAAAAAACCTGATTGGTATAGCATTTTGAGTCATTTGATAAGTGTCAGCAGTCAAAAAATTTGTGTACAAAAAGAAAATTGTATTATCAACAAGTGAAGTTATCTTTTTTCACCACAATCAAAATGTAAACATAAATATTGTTATACATTGTACATGTATTCAATGGATTTTGCTATTTAAACTTTAATTTCATACAGACTATATACAAGCAAAATGAGAGGGTAAATTTCAGCAAAAGTCTGGCATATGTAAACAGAATTATATATATCGGTAATTTAGTGAAGTTGATAGATTAATTGTTCAATGATTTTGGTACCTTCACAGTATAGTTTAATTTTTGTCAACATCTTGGACGATCTTTCATAGCTAAACACTAGTCCAATATATTAGACGTTACAGGCTTGTTATAGTTTTTGTCGGTCAAGCCTGACGTCTAATAGTTATTGCTCAAAAACGCATAGCATCATATAAAATTCAAAAAATGTCTATTGTCTTGCCTTTCAAGCTTTATTCAAAAGCTTATAATATTTTCTTTCAATTTCATGCTCAATCATACACAAAAACTTTCAAACGATGTACTTATCAATTTAAAATAAAATATAAACATCAATCTATTTTTGTCTATCAGCCATACTGCATGGTTAAGCAAGGTGCGTTACAGATTGATTCCAAATTTTTGAATCGAAAAATATATTCGAACACACTGACGGTGCATGGGCAATTATTTCGTTAAAAAAGTATTCCGTTAAATTGTTCTGACTCAGTTAAACGCTTGCATTTGAATTAGCCAATCAGATTTCGCGCACTTTACGGACGCCATTTGTTTATCGGCTGTAAAAGGAATTGAAATACATGAGAGGATTTAATCATGATTTTTCGGATGTGACAGTTTAATTATTTTGACTAAAGGTATTTATTTTTTAGTTTGTTCATAAATAGGTAAAAAATTATGTAAATACACGCTGTCTTCATTGTTTTTCGTTCCGCCCGATTTTCTGGCGGAACATGCTATGGGTTTTTGAGCAATTTCGATATGACGTTGCTTTGCCCACCCGTCCCTAGATTTGCCACTAAAATGCCACCCTTTTCAATGGTGGAGTATTTAGACAATTTTCCACCAATAATGCCACCAAAACGCCACCAAAACGACACCCAAATCATGAAAATGGTGAAAAATTTGAGCAGGACTGATGTTATATAATTTTCCAGTTAATTCCACCTTTTTTACACTAAATGCCACCAATGAGTGGAAAATTGGTGGAGTATTTAGACAAACTTTCACCATAATGCCACCATTATGCCACCTTAGGGTGGCAAACTCATTTTCCACTAGATGCCACTTGTTTCCACTTATTGCCACCATAATGGTGGAAAATTGGTGGAGTATTTAGACAAATTTCCACCATTATGCCACCATTGAGTGGCAAACTTATTTTCCACCAAATGCCACTTATTTCCACCTTTTGCCACCATAAGGGTGGAAAATTGGTGGAGTATTTAGACACTTTTCCACCATTTTTCCACCAGATAGTGGCAAATTCAGTTTCCACTAAATGCCACCTATTTTCACCCTTTCAGAAATTTTCCACCTTGTGGGTGGCAATAGCTGGAAACTGCTTGAAAGTCGCCCTGTACCCTAAATTGGAAACAAACAAATTTTAAAAATAATCCTTTTTAATGTTTCCATATGAAATTATATATTGTCTCAAAAAATAGCAAAACATTAGTCCATTTATTTTCTTCAGTTTATCTTGCTATTCCTGGACGGTTTGAGTTCAGTCCTTTAGGTTGTCGGCAACTTTTCGAGCGCACAATCTAAAACAAAAAAAATTATGAATGATTAATACAATAATTAAAAACATAAGCTTACATTTTTATATGACTATTGGATATTTCTATATTCAATTTGAGTGCATTGATATGATTAAAACACTTTAAAAAACAGCACTGCAGACGTGGAAGAATCAGACTTTTCTTATTTACTCCAACGCAGAAAATATACGCAGAATCAAAAATGATATTTTCATTCAGTTCATTAGTTACCTTCCAAGAACTTAAGTTTTGCCTTGTCTGCACAAGAAGGTCTGGCTTCAGACTCTCTGTTCCCTTTCCTCATACCAAACAATGAGCGGCCTTTAATCTCTTCTATATTGAATAGCATTCTGAAGAGCTTTGCTGTACCTTTCTCTTCTGGGGCATATGGCTTCAGTTCTGCCATCACTTGGTCCTAAAATATGATTAACAATATCAAATAAGTAAAGACAGAAAATGATTATCAATATCTAATATGTAAAGACAGAAAATGAAACACTTTTATAAGACCTTGGTATATGTATACAACTCTAAAATTTTTAAATAAGAAAGAAATAAAGAAATACAACACATCAACACCAGTGCAGGTTGAGTTATTAATATTATAATCTTCCAGTTTCAGTTCTTAAGGAACCTTCATCAGGATAAATATTTGATAAAATTTTCAAGCTAAAATGTACAAAAACTCTAAAATTTGTAAAACAAAATGTAAATGCAAATTAAAGTGTCATAAAGAGTTTGAATTAAAGTAGGTTTGTAAATAGTGACTAATAGCTATATTTATCAAGAACTGAAAAGTGTCTAATTGGGTACTGTGACACTTCTTTCCTATTAATTCTAAAATAACTTTGAATTAACAAGATACCTTTGTAAAGCCACTGAAGATCAAATGTGTTGCTCCAGGCTGCTCCTCATTGCTTTGTGTCTGCAAAATAATAATTCTTATTTAATGCTGTTTCTGTTATGAACTGTCATTCTCCTAATAGCATGTTACTCTAGACTGTCTAGTTATGGTTATATAATTATCTACTGCACCATGAAAGCTGAATTACAACAATGAAGGAATTAAACTTACTAATAAATCAGTTACTGTTAATCTGCTCCACATGTGACACACAAGGAAATATGTTTAAAGCATGAAAGTTGTAGTAATAGGTACCTGGTTATCTATAGTTTGATTGATGTAATATTGTACATAATGATATTGTACTTACTGATTAATTTCTATAATTTTTTTCTCAAACTTAAAATTTCTAACATATTGTATTTAAGAAATGATGAAGATCTTCCTACATTCTTTATATTCCTACATTCTTTATATGTACATTGTACATGCAGCTTTCTTTTTAGTCAAGTTACAAACAAAACAAATATAAAACACAATTTTATACAATACCACTTCATATTTTTACTGTCAAAAAACTAAACAGTTTCTGCATAAATAACAATAATTATTGTATGTAAAAGTTGTTTACCTGAAACTTTGACTGGGAATGA